GATGGATGGATGGATGGATGGATGGATGGATGGATGGATGGATGGATAGATGGGTGGATGGGTGGATGGGTGGATGGGTGGATGGATGGATGGATGGATAGATGGATGGATGGGTGGATGGGTGGATGGATAGATTGATGGATAGATGGGTGAATGGATGGATGGATGGGTGGATAGATGGATGGGTGGATAGATGGATGGGTGGATAGATGGATGGGTGGATAGATGGATGGGTGGATGGATGATGGAGTTAGAAAAGTGCTTCTCAGCATGCTGGCTGGGAATTATGGGATTTGAAGTCCACTCATCCTAAAGTGGTCAAAGCTGAGGAACACTAGGGTAATGTTCCCAGTCAAGAAGGGCCAGACCAACCCCTAGAGAGCCAGCTATGGGGCGGGCACTGAACCTCAGAGAAACCTCGTTGCTCCTCACCTCCAGGACCACAGCTTCCCCTGCTGCAGCTTTCCCATTGATCCTGGCCACATGCTTCAGGTTGCGCAGGGCGGCCTCCCGTTCGTTGTTCATGAGGAGCCAGCGGGCCGACTCTGGAAGCCACCTGAGAAGAAGGTCAGGTTGGGGGGCTTGAAGTTGCTTACGGGGCTCTGGGTTGATTCTGCTCCTACTTGGTTCTCCATGCAGGAAAGCCTAGTGCAGGGGCCTTCAAACTTGACAGCTTTAAGACTTGTGGACTCCCAGAATTCCTCCTCCTCCAGTCATGTTAGCTCAGGAATTCTGGGAGTTGAAGTCCACAAGTCTTAAAGCTTGCCAAGTTTGAAGACCCTTGGCCTAGTGCCGTGATCGGGCGAACCTATGGCATGCGAGGCATGCAGAACCTTCTCAGTCGGTATGCGCGCCATCGCCAGCTGCTCTTCTGGTTTCTGGTGTGCACATGAGTGCATCTATCTATCTGTCTCATCTATATCTTCTATCTATCTATCTCTATCTATCTATCTATCTATCTATCTATCTATCTATCTATCTATCTATCTATCTATCATCTATATCTTCTATCATCTATCTATCATCCATCTATCTCATCTATATCTTTTCTCTCTCATCCATCTATCATCTATATTTTCTATCTATCTATCTATCTATCTATCTATCTATCTATCTATCTATCTATATCATCTATATTTTCTATCTATCTATCTATCTATCTATCTATCTATCTATCTATCTATCTATCTATTATCTATATCTTCTCTCCCTCTATCATCCACTTATCATGTATATCTTCTATCTATATCTATCTGTGATCTATATTTTCTATCATCTATCTATCTATCATCCATCTATCATCTATATCTTCTCTCTCTCTCTCTCTCTCTCTCTCTCTCTCTCTCTCTCTCTCTTTACGATGGCAGGACTCACTTCACACTTGCTGTGATTCACTTTCACAACCATGGCAAAAAAAAGGGGTGGTAAAATTGGGGCAACTTGCTTTATGATCACCTCAACTAAACAACGGAAGTTCCAGTCTCAGTCATGGTCATAACTCAAGGATTACCTGTCAGCACCAGCTGACATTACCTATGGTTTCCCCGGGAAATAGAACCTGATGTTTGAGGGACATCTGGACATATCCAGAGCCTTCCTTATGACTAAAGGGATGTTCTGTCTTGAAGTGAGAAATAGGGACTCACCAGGAATAGGCGAAGAAGGCGAAGAACGGGGCGGAGATGGCCAGCTGCAGCCAGCGCCAGTCGCGGATGGCGTAGGCCAAACCTCCCAGCAGCACCTGCCCAGCTGTGCTGCAGTAGCTCTGGATGGAGACGACCACCGCCCGGTATTTGGTGGGCACCCACTCCAGACCTGGGAGAGGGAGAGGAAGACAAGCCGAAATTTCAGATCCACCCAAAGGGAAGACCGATCCAATGATAGAAGAGAATGTTTGCAGCTCAGGGCTGAACTGTGAGCCCTTTGAGCTGCGTGGTTTTCTTGAGGACATTTCTTTTTTTTAAAAAAAACCAAATTTTATTGATTTTAAAAACAAACAAAACATAAGACATCAAAGTCTAAAACCTCCTTTCTCAAAAATTACTTATAAGTTTTAACAAGGCAAATAAGGCATTATTTTTTAAAGCATAGTTCCACACTATCACATTTCCATTTAAACACATATATATCTTTTCCAAATTTCTCATTGTTTCTCCCTTCACTTTTATTCAATTATATTTCTTTCTATCAAGGTTTTATTAATTCTCCATCAAGCATAAACACACAAAATACAGAACATAAAACAAAACCTAAAAAGATAAAACCTTCTTAATTATTATTTATACATGTCTTTTCCAAATTTCTCTCCCTTTAGTTTTATTCCTCCAAGGTTTTATTAATTCACAATCAAAACATAGCTAACCAAAACACAAAACATAAAACTTCTTTTGAAAAGTGGCTTGAGGACATTTCATGGCCCAGCTAGCTGACATCTTCAGCGTTAGAAGGGGGTGGGGTTTATGGAGGGGGTGGGGGAGGAGGAGGAGGAGGAGGAGACGACTGTGGGGTCCTTGGTGCTCTCTGAGCTTGGTTGGCGATGATGGTGATGATGATGATGATTTAAGGAAACCACTCCCACGGCCTTCTAGCACTTATGATGTGGCCTCGTTGAGTCATGAAATGTCTACACGGAAACAACCAAGCTCAGAGAGCACCAAGGATCCACACCAATCTACGATTGCTTTCTAAAAGTTGGAGGGTCCCCTTGAGGCTAACCAGTCCAGATCCTGGCTGAGGCCAGTAGCCATCATTTGACCCAGAGTTTCTCACTCTTTGCTACTTTAAGTGAGGTGGACTTCAATGCCCAGAATTCCCCGGCTGGTGTGCCCACCGTTTACCCAATTTAGGGTGGCCGGAGAATCATTAGGAGTTAAGTCCACCCTGGATCAAACCCCAGCTCTAGCCAACCTTCACCCCACCTTCCCGTGTGTCCCACTTCTCATCCTGTCTACCCAGCACTCACTTAAACAGATGTAATTCAGCAGGAATCCGGAGATGCCAATCCCACTCAGGAAGCGGAAGATGCAATAGGCCAGGAAGCTGTTGGAGAAGGCTGCCCCAGTGCCCATGATGGCCACCATCAGCAGCGACCCAATAAGGATCAGCCGGCGTCCGTATCTGTGCCAAGAGGGTTACAAGTAGGATTAAGACATGTCCGTTAGGTCCCAGGTTTGGGGGCAGTGGGTAGGGCAGGAGACGGATTTTGGGTAGGATTTGAAAGGAGAGTGGGGGGTGGGGTGACTTTGGACTTTGGACACCAGGAGACTGGGAGTTCTAGTCCCACCTTAGCTGTGAAAGCTGGCTGGGGAACCTTGGGAGAATCGCCAAGAGTTCTAGTACTAGGCATGAAAAAATGGCTGGGTGACTTTGGGAGGGTAAAAGGACTCTTGCCTTGCGGGGGTGGGAGAGATTGGACTAAGACCTCCAAGGTCCCTTCCAACCCTATGATTCCATCCCCCCCCCCTCTCTCAGTCCTGTCCAATTCACAGGGTTGTGGGGAAAATAGGAGGAAGGTGTGTTGGATATGGGTTGGACGTGCTCGTAGCCTTATTCGTAAAAATAATAAAAACGGGATATCAATAAATAACAAGATAGATAAATATGCTAAATTTAGACTGCCTAAAATGCATCCTTTATATGTAAAATTCCTGCCTTGCAAAATTCTGCGATTTGTATTCCTCTCTGGATCGGGCAGCCCACCTGTTTTCTTTGCTTGCGGAATTTCCTTACCTGTCCGAGAGGTCTCCCAGGACGAAGGCCCCCACCAGGACCCCGGCCATGAAGAGGGATTGGGCCAGGCTCTTCAGGGGCTGCAGGTTGCAGACCAGGTCCCACTGCAAGGACACAGAAGAAGAAGAAAAGAGCTGCATTCCCACAACATGCTTAGGCAGTTTTGGAGAAAACCCAGGTGGGGAGGTCTGTGCAACAGGCTAAGCTCGGCTGCTGGGAACCTGGGAAAATGCATGTATTTCTCTCCAAATTTGGCCCCTTTAAGCCTTGTGGATTTCAAATCCCAGAATTTCCCAGCCAGCTGCTGGCTGGGGAATTCTGGGATTTGAAGTCCACAAGGCTTAAAGTCACGGGTGAGCTACTATCAGTTCACTCCGTTCGTGCGAACCGGAAGTTAATTCTACATTTGGTTCACTGAACCAGGAGTTCCAACGACTGCCTGGCCCCACCCCACCCTCCCCTCCCAGGAGTCTCCACGTGGCCCGTTTTGTATCCCACTTAAGTGCTGGGCCAGAGGTATATAAGCTGTGAAGAGGTATATAAGTCTAACGGCTACTGCTATGGTCCTCCCTCTCTCCCTTCGTTCCTTCATTCCTTCATTCATTCCTGCTCCATGATTAGAGTGCAGGCTAATTCTGCCGGCTGCCAGCAGTTCAATCCTGACCAGCTCAAGGTTGACTCAGCCTTCCATCCTTCCCAGGTCGTAAAATGAGGACCCAGATTGTTGGGGGGCAAGAGGCCGCCTCTGTAAACCGCTTAGAGAGGGCTATGAAAGCACTGTAAAGTGGTATATAAGTCTAAGTGCTGTTGCTATTGCTATCCCTACAAAACTGGGCAACTGGCCCATATTTTACTATGGTTGCAGCCTCCCAGGTTCACCTGATCAACATTTGTGACCTTCCTGGCCGGTTTCTGACAAGCGAAGTCAATGTGGGGGGAAGTCAGACTCGCGTAACAACTAGCTGATTTGCTAAATGATGTGCAGTGATTCACTGAGGAAAAGAAGGCTGCAAAATTGAGCATGAGTCACCGAACAACCGCCACGCTCAGTCCGGGAGTTTTTTTTTGGGTCCTGGTTGTGGAAAGTCAAGGACTGCCTGAACATTGCCAAACCGAAGAAGGTGGAAATCTTAAGATAAGATAACAGATGAACAGAGTTGGAAGGGACCTTGTAGGTCATCTAGTCCAACCGCCCTGCCCACGCAGGAGACCCTACACACCATCTCTGACCAATGGCAGTCCAGTCTCTTCTTGGAAGCCTCCAGGGATGAAGCTCCCACAACTTCCGAAAGCAACTTCTGTTCCATCCGTTGATTGCTCTCCCTGTCAGAAAGTTTTTCCTTATTTCCAGGTTGAATCTCTCCTTGTTCACTTTCCATCCATTGTTCCTTGTCTGGCCTTCAGATGTTTTAGAAAATAGCTTAACCCCTTTTTCTTTGTGGCAGCCCCTCAAATATTGGAAGACTGCTATCCTGTCCCCCCTGGTCCTTCTCTTCACTAGACTGCCAGGCCTAGTTCCTGTAACCGTTCTTCATATGTTTTAGTCTCCAGTCCCCTCATCATCCTGGTTGCTCTTCTCTGCATTTTTTCTAGAGTCTCAACATCTTTTTTATAGTGTGGTGACCAAAACTGAATGCAGGACACTAGGTGTGGTCTTACTAAGGCTTTACACAGTGGGATTAGTACCTCCCTTGATCTCGATTGACCAGCCATAAACTGAGGGCACATACAGCTATCCTTGACTTACAACAGTTTAATGACCAGTTACAACAGTAGTAGGAAAAAGTGAGTTATGATCGTTTTTCACACTTACAACTGTTGCAACATCCCCATGGTCATGCAATCAAAATTCAGATGCTCCTATTTATGACGGTTGTTAAAGGATGATAATGACCGGTATCTGAATATAGATCTTTTTAACAGTCATGTTTTAGTGTTTTTTTTAATCTAGGTACATATTGCAAGCCCATCAGAGGTGGTCTTCAGCAGGTTCTGACCAGTTCTGGAGAACCAGTAGCGGAAATTTTGAGTAGTTTGGAGAACCGGCCAATGCCGTCTCTGACTGGCCCCGCCAACCCCATCTATTCCCTGCCTCCCATTGAGTCCCAGCTGATTGGCTGGGTCTCCTTTGGTTGCCCTGCACGGGAGAACGGAGCTGGAAAGCAGGCTAGTGGGGTGGGGAGGGAAGGGGGATTTCGCAGTCTATCCTTCCCCTGCCATGCCCACAGATTGACTGACTGACTGATTAAATAAGTAAATAAATAAACACAAAATAAGTAAATAAGGGCGGCTGCAAGTAACCTCCGAACATACCTCCGTCACGATGGTGGAGGCGAAGGTGCTGTGGTCATACTGCCACCCATCAAGGCAGGGCTCCAGTCCCACCTCCTTCCCCGCCGTGTCGTTAGAGTTGGGCGCCAACCACCCTGTGAAGCGCCGGCAACGGTCCGGCTTCAGGTCTTCCCCAAGAGGAACAAGGTTCTCTTGCCGGGAGAGGTTGCCGGGCTGTGCCAGCCTGCACTGGTGCTCTGGAGTGGCCGCGCTGAAGTTCTGCACCAGGTTGTGGCTGGCCAGGAAGAGGACGGGCAGCGAGAGGAAAAAGACGGAGAAAATCTGAAAGGTGCCCATGCTGCCCACCTCTTCCAGCAGGTCCCCGAAGGGGATGGTGGCCACGGGAGGCCCCGGGCACAGGGAGAGGCGGCGTTGACCCTTCGCTGGTGCCATGTCTGCCCGGCCTTTTCTGTCTTCTTCCCTACTGCCAAGGAAAGGACCCCTTTTTATAAGCAAAGGAGAGGAAATGGAGAGGGCACTTTGGATTAATGAATGGCCACCAGGAAGCTGCGGCTGACCGGGCACCCCCTGGCACGGGGAAGCAGATGGGACAGCAGCCATGAAGAGGGCAGGGTCTGCGGGTGTTTGCGTGGGTGTGTGTGTTTGAGTCTTTTTTTGCCTGTCCTGTATTTGCCCAGGTTTGCCCAGGACCCTTTTCCTTCCACCCCTCCAAAAAAAGCAATGCACAGGCAGTCCTCGAGTTATGACCGTAATTGAGCCCAATGTTTCCACAACGAAGCAAGACAGTTGTTAAGTGAGTATATGCACCAAAGACAAATTCCTTGTGTGTCTAATCACCCTTGGCCAATAAAGAATTCTATTCTATTCTATTCTATTCTATTCTATTCTATTCTATTCTAT